GAATCTTATAAGACCTTATAGGAATCTTATAAGACCTTATAAGATCGGCCTGTAAGATTTTTCCTAGAAATTCCAAAAACTTTTAAAGAATATCTGTCTTTGTCTACTGGTCAGATAAACAGTAAATCTTGGGCTGATCTTCACATTTTCCAAGAGCAGTGGTAGATAGGCTGTACTTTTCTTTGTAACAAGAAAGCAAAAAAGTTTATTTTCAGTTCTTTCGACGTGAACATTTATCGACAGATGCATATTTAGTCTATAGAGCGAAAGTTCCTAATGCGAACGGGAAATTTTTCAAGTGGAGTAAAGTTCATGTAACTCCATTATTTCTTAACGAAATCAAAAGTTATTAAAGTGTGAAGTTCTCTATCAGTAGGACAACCGATCTGTAAAAAAATATTTCAGAAATGTGCTTTCGTTTATGTATACTAACCGTTTTATTATACACATGTTTATTTCGTTAGGATTAAGTGACTTATCTTATTGCGAACGTTTCTCTTTCTTTTATTCCCTAATGCGCACGGTCCATTCAAATACACGTGTTTTTTTACAGAAGGGGAAAAAAACACTGTTTCAAGTGGAAAAAAGTCAAAGTGGACTCAACCTATTGCTGACAGAAATGTTCACTGAATTCTCAGCAATCTGTTCATCTAGTAATTTTTAAAAACTATTGAGCCTATCGTGAGATATGACAAATATAAGTGAACTATATACTCCGTTCGCATTAAGAGCATGACTTTTTTCGAACGTTTCTGTATTTTTTGTCTCCTAATGCGAACGGACTCATTCAAATACACGGAATTTTCAAGACATTCAGAAAAAAGTATTTCACGCTATCCAAAGTTTAAAATTATGACACATTCTTGGTACAAAAGTTGTTTAAAATACTCTAGGCTACAACTGCATGTAATCGTAGTTAATTTTGAGTAATTTAATGTCCGCGGCATAGAAGCCATCTATCCATCGGTCAGTTTAGAGTTGCCGGACGATGCCTCTACAATGTTCATTTTTAGAAATAATGAATTTGGCGCGTAAATTTGACCATTGAATTCAGACAAGATTCTTGTAGAGAAAATACGATAAGCAATACGAAAGAACATCAATCAAGATTCTTGTCTGTTCCTCCAAGATTCGAAACGGCTATAAAATAAAAATCACAAGATTCTTGTCTGAAATGGCAAGAGACAAGAATCTTGCAAGAATACTCACAAGAACGTCGACCAGTGATGCCGTACAATATTTATCTCTATCCTAAATGCTAAGTAGAAGTCTATGAATTCAGCATCAATTAATTTCACTTCGTCGTTCGTTTTCAATCTTTCTGATATGTAGAAATAACCGTCACTAATATATTTAGATGCCTCACGCATATTAAGCGAAAGACGTTACTAGATTCACTGATAAATTTTTTCAAACATCTTGAGCTTTTAAAAGTGTCTCAGTTCATTCTGATCTTTTTTATCCTGCTTTCTTCAACTTTTTTAATCATGCTTCACGGTTTCAGAACAAGTATTATATGTGAACGATATTATTTAAACAGAATAGAGGAAAAATGCAGAATGAGTCGAGTAAAACCGTATTTCATACGTGCGGTTTCATGCGATAAGATGCGCATTATTATTAACATAGAATGAATCATCTAACATCTAATTTGAACTCTTCCCTTCATGCGAAGATATTACTTCAAGTATAAGTTAAGAACATGCTGTTTACTGCATGCAATATCTGCGGTCGAAGATTATTTTCGAAATCATGCGACATCTGTTGAACTGCAAAGACATTGCATAAATTCTTATTCAACGAACAGTGAGAAAGAAAAGATAAAATATTACCATCGGGGGCCATTTTTGGTATGTAACTTCTTACAAGCAAAACTGATCGAATAAATTTTAAGAAAAGTCTTTGTGAATGGAACGCACTACTAGACATTTATGATTTTTTTTGAAATGGCTGGAAAATGTCTTTGCGAGCTCCATCGCAATGTGCACGGACAGCAAAGAGTTATCCAACAAACAGATTTTTAATTTATGGTGAGAAAATATGACGCACAAATATTTCGTGCAGAAGACCAAGAATTATCTTTTTTTCACTATAAAACGATTTGATGGCTCAAAAGGGGTTGCAAATGACATAGAGCACTTTCATTTACTAGAAACTATGAGACTTTATTGAGGAAACATGAGAGATCATCTATTGTCCCGACGTGTGATGCGATGACTTTTCGCCAAATAGGTTGCGATGACTTTCGCCGTGGTTAAAAAAGACCAGAAAGAGAGAAGAAAAGCTAAGAAAAACACATTAGAGCTATGCGTTCTGGATCAAGATTAACTTAGTATACATATTCACTCTCAAAAAGCCGGGGCGAAAATTGAGAAAAGTAATGAAGAACAATGTTTGTTTTCCTTTTCTTATCCTTTATCGTCATTATCTAGGAGCAATTTTGTTAAAAGTATTTTCTAAAATGTTCTCGCTGTTGTCTTTTCGAGTTTCATGGAAATTTTGTATGTGTAACAGCGGAAAGCCCAAATACAGGGATGCATCCAATTTTTACATTAATTTAAGCTGAATGAATTCCTGGCCAAATGTACACGTTTATGACGCTGTATCTAAATCTCATTATAAAACTCGTGGATCGGCGGTGTTCATCTTATCTATCGTTACGATTTTGAGGAAAGTATTTAAAACATATTAAGTTTATTAAATAAGCATATTGAGAAGACTGCACAGTGGGCATTCAGGTGGAAATTTAGAAAAAATAGTGAGTTTACTTTTTCGTAATTTAAATAGTGTTTCATATACTTCGAGTGACGGCCGATTTAATGGCGAAAGAATTTTTATTCTACAACTTTTCGTTCTATAGAAGATTTGAAATGCAAAAACACCATGTAAATGCGCTATTTTTTCGCAAAAATTTCGATTTTTATTGAAGGACAGTAAATTAGAACAAAACCGAGATCATATTCGGTAAGAACACAGTCAGTCAGATACGAAATAAAAAAAATCTTGTTTTTCGAGTGAAACTTAAGAGTTTTGGAATGAATTCTTTCGAAAACGGTCTAGGCTGTAAAGGCTCTCTCCGGTATTTTGAGAACGCGCAGGTCTGAACTAACATATTTGTATACCAAAATGTTCCTCGCGAGGCCATGCATCTATGGTGAATGCGCAAAAGTGCGGATATTTTCCTGGACTGAGATATTAGTTTTCCAAAAACCCAGGTTTCTGGTGTAAAAAACAATTTTTTCCGAACACTATATACATATTCGGGATCAGCGTGGAAAAAATGCGTGGAAAAAATCTATTGACGTGTCTTCCAACTATTTTTCTTTAAAATTTGCTCCGTTTCTTTCGAAGCAGCGTTTTTCTTTGATTTTGTGCTGCAAACTACTTTTGTAGAGGTTTCCGGCTATGCTGAATCTAATGACGACATTGAAAAATTTTTGAAACTGTTTTTCTATAGGTTTTTCAGAGACCAGATCCCTAGAAATCCCTTCAAAAACTGGATTTTGGCTATTTTTTCTATGCCGTAAGAAAGAGCACATTCGAAAACGACTTTTAGCATATGTGTGTAAGTTGAGGCTCATGTCCGCCTGCTCTAGCCAGAAATGCTCACTGTGGACTGGCAGGAAATAAAATCGAGCTTTTGTATTATTTGAATTTTGTATACCCCTTACGGATCACAACACAACAGAGCATAAGTGATATCCATTTTAAATTTTGATGAAACTTGTTAAAAAGCTTCGAGTTTCTGTCGTATCCGACGTCTCATTCTTGAATACAAGTGTTCCTTCATTCCACTAATGTTGCATTTACATGGAAACTGTTTTATATAATTTATAGTAAGCCTTTTAGATTGCAACTGCAATATTATAATAACCAACGAATATGTTCTCGACTTCAATCACATATATTAGTTTGTTTCTGTCTGCAAGCTTTAACAATTAGCTGAAAAAAAACATATTTTGTTTAGGAGCTTTTCTACTTCTTGATTTTTCTCAAACCATTGTGGTTCTACTTACTTTACTCTAAACCTCATACTATGCCTATATTTGTTTGTTTGTTTTCATCAAATTCTGTTTATTTTAGTGAGAAATGATTGCTTCAAAATGCAACAACGTTCATAATTGTACCCAATATATTTTTCGATATTTTTTACACACCACGATTAATCAATACGATTTAACAATTCCAGCTAAAACGGATAATTTTCCTCTCTCAGCAACGGTATTCGAACCATCCGATCAAAATGCAACGAGAATTAGTGCTGTTCTGTCAAGTGCAACTGGAGTAAAACGACAATTCTATTCTCATTTTGCTCAATATTTATCTGAACAACATCAAATAAGAACAATTTGTTATGATTATCGTGGCATTGGTCGATCGACACCCCCAAAAGGAACAGAATGGAATTTAATTGATTGGATACAAAAAGATTGTGCTGGTGTATTAGAATATACCCTACAAAAATATCCTCAAGATCAACTTGTAACTATTGGACATAGCGTTGGTGCACATGTACATGCTATGATGTATCCTGAATTGAATAAACAAGTTCAACGAGTTTTATCTGTCGCTGGAAGTAATGCATATCTATTGTGGCGAAAGAAATTAAATTTAACATTTCTAATGACATTATTAATGTTTTATGTATTGCGTGAACCGTTGATTTATTTCTATGATTATTTTCCAACGAAACAATTATTTAATGTAATGGAAGATCTTCCAAAAAATGTTGTTCGGCAATGGGCTTATTTTATGAGACGTCAAAAATATTTTGTCGATAAAAACGATGTTCCTTTATTTCCAGAAGGTTATGAAAGTTTACAATGTCCATTATTGGCAATTAGTTTTGAAAATGACGAATATTCAACCAAACGATCATTCCATGAACCATTCGTCAACTGTCAACTAATACAACGACATTATACAAGACAATATCAGTTTGGACACTTGAAATTTTTCAGCTCGAAAGCTTCCAAAAGTCGATTATGGCAAGAATGTGCTGAATTTTTGAAAACGGGACAAATACCACCAATGGAGGAAAGAAAAGAATAACAAATCTAACATAGAATATATTAACGTATAAAAAAGTAAAAAGAAGGTTATTTATTCGCGTATTATTCAGACATTGTGTAACTTTCATCAATTAAATATTTTGTTCAAGTTAGCTCTATTTGTAAGAAAGATTTTTTAAAATATTCGTTTTGGATTTCCATAACAAGTGCGTCCAAGAACTCAAAATGGTACTTTGAGGCGAAGGAGAGGAAGTCGCTTGTGACGGAACGATCAATACACCCATAATGTTACCGATTTTTGTTGATGTAAACATTGGATTATAGAGAGCAGTTGTTTTGGATTGGACAGTTGAAGATTCGGTAAGGGAAACTGTAGAAATGATAATGACTTTGAGTAATCTTAATAAAAAAACTATAGTTATTTTTACATGTAAGATGTTTTATCTGAAATTTTCGAGATTTTTTCAGGATAGGAACTACTTAGTAGGATCTATAACTTTGCCCATACAACTATCCTCGACACTTTCCATTTTTCACCCTCGATTTTCCGGAAAGCCTCTTAGAAAATTGCGGTACGGAAACAGAAAGAAGCCTCAGAAAACATTGAAGTACATTGAATTCTTAATGCTGAACTGGAATATAGAGTCATAATAGCTCAATTTTCTTTTCGTGAAGTAAGGTTTTAACGAGTTTTCTGGAAAACCGAGGGTGAAAAATGGAAAGTGTCGAGGATAGTTGTATGGGCAAAGTTATAGATCCTATTAAGTAGTTCCTATCCTGAAAAAATCTCGAAAAATTTTCGGAGCATTTAGGAGAAAATCGAGGTCAAACTTCAAGAATTTTTCAAGTAAATGGAGTATCACCCGAATGTAAAGTTAGATCGAGGCCAAATTCCTTCACCATTAGAATCAGCTCGTCAAGAGCTACAATTTGATGTATAATTATGTAATGTTTCGTTCATTTTCACCGACTTCGATTTCACCCTCACCAAAAACTTGAGGTGTCTAGAAAATCACTTTCTACACGTTTTTTCAAAAAACTGTAAGCGAGACTTTTAGGTTATTTTTGATGCTCTACACGATGGGCAAAGTGAAGTTTTTGCGGCAAGATGCTCTGTATAAAGTGGACGGACCTGTGTGGAAGCACCCTATTTGTTTGTGATAAGATTTTGTAGTGTATGCGGTACAGGATACAAATAACTTGAGAATATCAATGGGTTTGGAAATGGGAATAAAATTGAGGCGGATGAGTATTTGTGGATACAGATGATGGATACATCGTAATAGTTGAGGTTGGAAAACTTAAATCAGTACAAATTGATAATAAACTCATTATATGAAGCAAAAACAGTCTTGACTATTTTAGTCGTTCTTCTGACGGGAGGAAACAACTTACGCGTATGAATATTTAATGTCTTCATTATCGTTGGTTTTGTTAATTTTGAAATATTTGTAGAATAAGTTGGAGGACTTGAATAAACTTACTGCAGATGTAGTTGTTTTTGATGATTCGTAGCGGAACTGAGTGCTGGACTGCGTCATCGTTTTACGATTGGAGAAGCTGACGATTGTTGTTGTGAAGTTTGATGTAATGGAACTAACAGTTGAGGTGCTTTATAGGCCAGTAACTGGCAAGACGATGGCTGAGCAAGAAAATGTTGTTATAAATATTGAGCTACTTGAAGATCTACATATGAAATGAGAATAAAAATAAAAAATATTTAATCTGAAAACTCAATCGTAGTCGGTGAATATACTCTTGTCCAGTTTTGTTCTTTCTTCACTGTTTGTTGCGATTGCTTGCGTTTATAATCTTGAACAATGCTGGACATTCAATGACTCAAGCTGGCATATTTAGACGCAGAAATAAGAGAAAAATAGTATTAGCGTACATCAAACTTTAAGTTTTGAACTATTGATATGACTGTTGTGAAAGTCTTCTTCTATATTTTCTTTTCTTTATGGTTAATGCATGTCGTAAACATGAACTAGCTCTGGGTTAGTTAACTTTTTCTCAAATCAGCACCCTTGATTCGGGCTTAACTTGTGTGGTGTAAAGACCTTTTTACACTATTTTAATCATCAGCCTCACTATTTTTCCACAAACGCTTTCTAAGTGTTTGATGGGTTTTACAGACACATGAAGTTCAGTACAAATACTCTTGGAAAGGTATCTGCAAGAAAATTTATCTCTTGGTACACTTTTTAGTAGTGCTGCAAACGTATGCACGATCGTAGTTAGAGTCCTGCAGGTCAAACCTAACCTAACGTATAGGTTAGGTTAGGTTTAGGTTATGAAATTTTTTATAGGTTAAGTTGTAGGTTACGTCATTGATAACCGATTTTTAACCTAAACGAAAGAAACCGATTTTGAACGACCACATCAAAGCAGCCAACACTTTTAGTAATAAAACGTAGTTCGAGTGGAGTTTTATCGATTGAGAATGAAGTTCAGACCGGGATTCGCTAGTTTAAACTGAAAAATTGCACAATCAAAAAAAGAAAGCAGAGAGATAAAACTTCCGTTTGCTAACAATAGATGGCAAATACACAACAATAACGGGTATGGAACGATATGGAAGAAAGCTGAAGTTTAGGCTTCTGAAACCAGATTTTGGGAAGAAATTGCCAAAGATTGTATTAGGTTAATCTAGGTTAGGTTACGCAAAACAGATTAGCTTGGGTTTAGGTTGTGAAAATTTTTATAGGTTGGGTTATAGGTTGTCGAAACGTCGTAATCTGACTTGTCGATTTTAGTCACCTACGTCCAAAAAAAATAGGCTCTATTAATCTACAGTTGACCTTTACATGAATGTTCAATCAGTACAAATGGCAAGGAAATCTCGATTATCTGTTCAAAACTGCATTAGTTAAGAAGAAAAAAAAGTCAGAAAAATAAGTGTTACAATTTCGTTGATAAACTTTGTCAGAGAACTCACAATGAGAACAGTTAAAGTGTGCGTAAAATAAGATCTCTCCCATGAGTAGTGTGAGATCGATAAAAAGAAAGTGGTGCGAGGTAGAATGAAGAAACAACAACGACTTCTTCAATTATTCGGCAGATGTACACCTTCTTACTATTTGCACTCCTGAACAAAAATAATAAGAAATAAATTAAGATCTTTTTGTACAAGGCGAAAACTGTTTGCTTTTTATTCTTCCAGATCGTTGACATATAACGTCATCGGAAAAACTTCATTTTATGTTTAGTCATGAATTAGAAAATTGAATACAAATCAAAATGTGAGGAACGCTGATTTCGTCTAACTTGTGCTATTTTATTGTTTTCTTTTCCATAGTGATTCGAAGACGAACATCCACAACAAAATATTCATGATGTCTTTACTGGTCATTGATTAGTCCGAAATTAAACTGATTCTCAATGTAATGAACCGTATGTTTTATGTCAAATATTTTCTGATCAACCACCATTGCG